TGACTGGATGCTTCTGTCTAATATTTTTGAGAAGTGAGAGGAAAAGATGTATGAATATGTACTGAACAGTTACGCATGTTTACTGTATGTATCAAATGCTATAGATACAAATAATATTGCTTTACAAATATTAGTGCCTCAGGTGTGTGACTAGTTTTCCCTCCTGGTTCAAATATCATTTGGTTAGGTGTACATGCCTCCCGGAGTGTTATGGTTGGGTCCAAAGTGCCATTGCTTTATTCAGCTGTGGATATTTAAACTTGAAAGAGCAATTCCAATGCTGTATTGATGCCTCTCAACTGAATTGTCAAAGCAACCCATATATGGGGAATTACAACACTAGGAATTAGGCATGAATTTGTTGACTAGCACTTTTCTGGTAAATCTGGGCATTTTCTGGTAGTACTTTGTGGCTAAAGAATTGAAGGTGGTCATTACTTGGACTTTATTTCTGATCTGCAACTTCAAGGTGTTTATAAAGCAATAGTTGTATACCAGCCAAAAGGAACTCTTAGCCATGACATTTGTCATTCTAGCCCTAGTAAGGGGGGCTAGGCAGTAACAGGTTCAAACAAGTGCATTTATTGTGTTAGTTTTATAGTAACAGCCCTTCAAGAATGTGTTAAGCAGCAAGGAACCGCTAAGATTTTTATAGCCAATTTTCAAATGTATTTCAAACTGAACTTGTTAAAGTTTGCATTGTTCTGTAGTGATCCTTCATTTATGACATTCTGTATGCTTAGAAGATGAGATAGATCTGTATCTTGCATGTGTATCATATGTTTCTCTGTTATTTACTGATGTATGTTGAAATGATTGCTGGGGGCAGATGCTGGATTCGTGGATCTGTGTCCAGATATTTGGACATTAACCTTAATTATGTAACTATCATTTTCTTTCTAAACACAGTTAATAGAAAATAAGAAATACTCAGCTGTAAATAGGATTGTCTGTACTCTGTGATTTGATTTGCATTTACGTGACATCACCATTTATTTTAGAAATGCACTTGTCTTTTAAAATATATTTCAGTGCAATAGTTGATATATTCTGTGAGTCATAATGATACACAGTCAGAACCCCGTATTTTTGTGGGTCTGACAGTCACCTTTCTGCTGCCTAGCTCTTATTTCAGCAGTCAGTTTAATTTATCCCTTAAGCATTAGGATGAAGTAGCACAAGCTAAATTATGGTCTTATTTAGTTTTCCGTATTTCACAGCGTTTTCTTTTTCTCTTGTGTTACTCGCCTCTCCCAAAGATTCATGCTTCTTATAGACATGGATCTGTAAAGTGGATTATGCATATATAGGCATCATAAAGGAACACAGATGATCATAAAGAGTTCTTGCAACTGGATAGAGTTTAATACATGGGTGAGGCATGTATATAAGGCAATGTTTTAAGCCCCTGAAAATTAATTGAGTTGCAGTAACATCAGATGATTTCCATGTTGTGATGATGACCGATACATATATTTTTCAGCAGAAGGACTGAATCGGTGTGAAAACTCAGTGGCCTTCTGAACTTAATAGGAGAAATGTTAAATTGCAGTGGAAGACCAAGAAAGAAAGAACTGTTTTCAAACCTGAATCAGGGCTCCATTATTTGAGATTAAGCAAGCTGTTTGCCTTTCTTGGTTTCAGTTTCTTTGGATATAGAATGTACCTCTGTCCAGAATACAAGCATTTCAAGGCCTGTGTTCTTCAGTCTGTGCATAATACTTTGATATAGTTCATCAAACAGGTGAACTTAAGTTAAAGTACAGTTGCTGTACTCTAAACACCTATATTGATTGCAGCATGGGTTATTCTGCTCAGGAATGGCAAATAATATTTCTAAATTAAGCTATATTTTTAGTCAAGTTCAGAACAGAATTTTAGTGTTGTATCCCAGGTATTGAATGTAGTCCCCTGATAATTTCAAATTCTGATTTTAATCATAGTGTTCATAATATTGTCTTAAATTCAGTGGTTCTAAACCAGACAAGTGGTACTTTTTAAACCTGCCTGTTGTATACCAGAGCACTCTCAACATCTAGTCTTAGCTTGTGTAACTAAATACTTCCTTTTATAGATTGTATTACAATCAGAATAGCCGTGAGTTCTCTGGGAAATGGGGATGTGTTGTATTCTTTGTTAAGGCAGCATTTGCCAAATCCATGAAA